AGCACGTGAAAATGTTGACGATATGCTAGTGAAAGATGCATTTAGGCACCTAGGGGCTACTTAGGTTAACCAAGAATGATTTATACTCACAATAACTAAGCACGACTGAAGTTAGAAGAACAGAGATTAGGACTATTTGATGCTTTATGAGGTGTGTCATTAATTTTCCTTCATGAAAGCAAAAGCCATTACTTGTAAAACTTCTTAGTCGTCGGATAGATTTAAATGATTTAATTCTCAACAGCAAAAAAACTTAGACTTTCGCGCCTGAAATATCTGCAGTCATATAATTTTGCTTTGTGATAAGTGAAATCATACATAGAAGCTACCTAATTCCCTTATTGCACGATGTGTGTATTCTGTATCAACTGAGCAGACGCAGAGTATACACACAGGTGTGCATTCCGACCAAAGATGACATTCTAAATCACTTTTATTTGTATTTCATATATTATCAAATTAATTAAAGAGCATTTAAAAAGGGGAAAACAGTTGGCAATTATTTTGAACTAATTTGTGAAATCTTATTGAAATGTAATCCATATGACACAACTATGATTCTACTTTATATCTTTGAGTTTCCCGCAGGAGAATAGTGATGCTGAAAAGAAAAATTACTACTGACAATACTCACTGTACAAATGCAAGTAAAAGATAATTATTGGATAGTTGGAGGAGGTGATCGGCAGAAATCCCTGACTAGAACTGGGGCTTCCTGCATGTTAGCACTCACCAGTCAGCAAGGCGTATTTACAGTCTTCAAGGGGAACTTATGTCCCTTCTGAAATTCTAGCCCCGGGACACTTGACTGATTGACGGAATTCAGTGTGCAGCAAAACGAAGGATTAGATGTATGACGGTTAGGTGCTGCCTAGTGTCTAGTTAAAGCATTACTGTTGTTTAACTTGGGCTTTAAAAAGTTCTTGGACGTGTCTAGTGCATGACAGGGACGTAATAAAATTACTGAGGGAGAAAAACACAGAAGTGCATAAGGCAAAATATCAACTGAATCATTTATGCTTGGCCCTGCTACCGTTAAAAATTGTGTAACATAAATTGATAGCTAAGTGTTAAAATTCATATATATACATATATATATATATATATATATATATATATATATCTTCAGTGACCAATATTTTAAAAAATGATTACAACAATCATTCATAATTTGCATGAATTAAATATTCCACCATTGGAATAAAGTTTATTAGCATTGGACAGAGAATGAAAATTTTAAGACAAGACACTACTAAAATACACCCGCAAGCATAAAAACGATGATTATATCAGAAAATAAGTTTACACAAATAACTGACCAAACGAAAACAAACAAAAAACATAAAGGATTTGAAATGAGAAAATGAATTTTTGTGATTAAATTAGTTTGTTGCCAGTTATTCAACAGTTGGTTTAACTGTCTGAAAACAAGATTAGTGCATTTGATTTATATGCTGAGACGGTTTGGTTTTTATTTATCATCAGAATTTTCCCGAAGAAGTAACACTTTTGCTCGATGAAAGTAGTTATGCTTCAGGAGATGGTAACATAAGTTAAAACAATGGTGGTATCAGCATGACTATCGAAGTTACTGAAACCTCTCTTACAATTTCCACTAGAAAAATTCACCTTTACCTTAGCGAGGGGATTAAAATAAACCTTAGTATTTTACAACCAGATAATAGTTTTAACTATACTGCTTATAATATTAATACCATTTGTCTTTAGCGTCATTTATCCTTCAATACAGGATTAATTTATGTTAACAGTTGCCTACACTGTATTTTTTCATTTTTTGTCAAATTTGTTTGGTAAACAACTTAACCGGAAGTAACCTGTAGCAAAAATAAGTTGTGCTGATGAACTGCATTCTGTATCCACGTGTAATTAGACAACTGCAGTACATAGTGGTTAAGTCTAGCACTATTTCTTGTGTAGAGTCTAGCACAGAATAAGCATTCGATCAATAACATTTAAAGGATCCTAATTAAAATAAGATATATGCTTCTGGGCTGATGTTCGGTAATCCGTATAGTTTAAAAATTTATGGTTCACACTGGCTGAAGGAAATATAATTTACTTTAAAAAGTATAGAACAAACTTAAGATTCCTTTACACCATATTCTCCAAATATGGTTAGTTTTATTTCAAATGGAAGTAGGAATTGTGAGGTGAAGTATGTAGTGAAAACAATTGGAGTTTACAGGTTCATAAGGAGGCCGTTGTTTGATATCCACAAACCCTTAAGAATTCGAAAGTCAAATACCAATCGGAAGAGAGTGATATGAAAAACTAACAATGAACCAGTGAAATATCAGAAACTAGAGAATACATATCCAACATAGTGCTCTACACACACACACACATACACTAGATTTCGCAAAAATGTCTAACTATTTGGATAAAAATCTAATTGGGAACTGCCAGCATATTGTGTTTCAGAAAAAAATTTAGAATTTTACTATGCTTATGTCACTGCTTTTATGTCTGAATACACATGCATGATAAATGGAAGTGGTAGGTGGGGGGAAACCTACGGAGAAAATCTCAATGATTGGTTATATTTTCACCTATTTTGCAACAAAGTGTCCCAAAACAGGATCCGTTTCAAGAATCTTTCTAGTAGCAAACACAGTAGAAATCACTCTATGAAATGAGTTTAAACCAAAACTATCATAACAATTTGTAGCTTTTCCCAACAATTCTTATGAAGAGAGGCTACTGATCAAGCGGCTTCTAGTGTTATCAGTTTTCAAACACTGAATAAAGTACTTAAGCTTAAGAGTGTTTCAAAAAATTAAAATTTATCACATATTTAGTCGAAATATTTAAAGTCTGTACAATGACACGTAGAACAGCAAGAAATAATCGCAAATGTACACACTGTGTTGAACTCCTAACTAATAAATGCTGTCAAAAAATTACTTCCTATGGTAGAAGTTAAAAGTAAAGCATAAGTAGTTCTTTGCTATTATTATCATTCCCTTTCAAATGGAGTATGAGTTTATTGCCTGATATTTAACGTCTAATAAAAAGGATTCATTTCACAGTTGATATCCACAACATTTGTGGTATTTAATGCAGCCAGACTCTTCGTGAGATACAGTGTGGAGAATATAAATCCAACGGTTAACAGGTCATAGTCGTGAGCTTCCGAAAAATTTATCCCTCAATTTCCTAAGTAGAATATAAGTACACTTGTGAACTAACTACCTGTCATATTACAAAATCCCTTAACTTATAAGAATCTTACTGAAGTATCCGTGGATGGGGAGAATAACGAAATATATCAAAGAAACAAATTCACTGTTGTATTAAGAAGAATTAAACTGAATGACTTACTTCACATTTCTAGTAACTTATAGCTGTTGTTGAGTAGTTTTTTTCGTTTATAAACTCCATCACTAAATGCCTTTGATCCTAGAGACTATTTGTGCAAACAGAGGTTTTCATGCTAAGGCATAATTTCCACCAAAAGAAAATGGAAACCATTAGGACATCAAAGCTGAATCTAATAACGTGACCTGAAGGCGCAAAATAAACGCAACACGCAATATACGTAGAGAATAGCATTCTAATTGAAATATGTCTTGATAAAGCACAACTTTGTAATAGCTCAGGTATCCCAGACTTCAAAAAGAACTTCTAATGAACGTATTTGTCAAAAACTTTAATACTTAACCTCTACTGACTTGGATTCTACTCAAAAACTGCTAACTGTCGGACGTCAACTGCTTCAAAATTCTACCTTTAATTCAGAAGCTAAGGAATTTTTGGCTGTTACTCTTATTTCTGGTATGACGGGTCAACTAAATATGTCGCAAGTAAAAAAAAGGGAAACCGTTCACATTATCTAATTTAAAGATTAACAGTAGTGACGAAAAAGTAAAAAAGCATAAGCTAGCTAGTTTAGTAGAAAACATCAAATCAAGAATCCCTCAAAAATCCAAAAAACTTGATTTTGTATTCATTATTTTTTAACCCAACGAAATTTCCATGAAATTCTGTTACCAAAATCTTTTAAGCGTCTACTTTCTACGTAAACAAGAAGAAATATTTCATGACCACCTTAGAAACGGTCTAATAAGCAATGTAAGAAAGGAGTGTTTTCCACACGAGGAAACCATCACAACAGGTAAAGATAAGTCAAATAGTTTAAATGGTTAGCCATGATCTGAACATTGCTCTTTACAGAGTACAAAAAATTGATCAGTATTAAATATATTTAAACAAGTTTTGGGTCAGTAAATTTACATAGTTTATCGTTGTAATTGAAATTCTGGCTTATGTGACTGACACTGAGAGTGTAACGCAAAAGTGATTCTATTGCAAGAAACACAACATTATCACATTTAATCAATATTGTAGACAGTAAAGAAATAAATAGATGATTCTAACCATTTTATCTGAGTACATCATATCTGAAAGTGTGAGTAAAATATCTCACTGTTTATTCATAAATTCACGAAGGATTGTTCAGTTTCTTGCCCCAAAACTGTAAGACAAACCTTAGCTACCCATAGAAATGAGTCATTTTTAATTCTTCCCAAGTGTTATATGATAACTACGAACTTAGGTCTTAAAAACTTATAAAACGGAAAATTGGGAGCAAACAAACAGCTTCGCATTTTATTATCATTGGCCACACTAAAACTAAACCAGTGTATTCAGAAAAACACTTTGTGGATAAAAGTCAGCAATAAACAGAAAAAAATGTCAGTTTCGGTCCCGATGGAAACGACAACTCATTCCTGTCTTATTTCAATATCATTGTTTTTGATCTGGGAAGCAAACGAAGTTTACACATCGAGAGCAAGAAGATGAACCAAGCATGATGGTAGCATAATATGTCCTAGTATCCACTGTTAACCGTATAAACTCTACCTTAATTAGTGAAAAATAACATCTGATGAAATAACTAAGAATGCAATGGTCAAAAACAATAATGTGTCACCAATACTGAATCGTTACCATTAAGAATAGCAAAGATGAAAACTGACCTGCCAGCTTGAATCTGTATGTCGATAGTAAGCGAAATTATTCATTATCCAACCATAGATATCCGACAGCGTAACTTTGGGTTTCCCAAGTTCGCGCATTGCCAAGCAGATAAGTGTTGCGTAGGAGAATGGAGGTTTTCCAGTCCATTTGGTTCGATAATCCATTCGAACCTGCGGATCTAAAAGGCTTCCCGCATATGGTGGATCACAACTTAAGGAATATTTACTACAGTTTTCTGAAAAAAAACATTCAAATAGTGCCAATATAACATACCATGCAGAGGTGAATTGATACTTATATCTTGGACTTCATAATTTTCAGTGGTTTCGAAATTCATTGAAATAGGGTTAGCATCCTGTTTAATAAAAACCATAATAATTAATTTTAGTCATACATATAACCACGTAAGGCTGGTTAAAGAATCATCAGTTTGTTCGGAATTGGAGAGCTTTTGCATCCAGTTTTTTCTCAATCTCTCGGCTAACAAACTAAGGTTATCCCCGTAAAGGTCAAACGATTGATCGCAGATATTCCGGGACATGAGTGTGGAGTAAATGGGCACAATTAGGATAGAAGGAACTGCTCAGAACATCTGAATATATTAGGTCCGAATGGAAATTTCTATATTGTTTTGTGGCAACTACTATTAGGTCGCACAAACAGCTCAGGCAACGCGACAAGTTAGGATGAATCTATGCAATGCGCCTTATGCAATGTGCAAGAATTCGATTTAGGCATTAAAACAAACTGACATTATTTTCAGTGTACAATGTTGATTAAAAAATAGTCATATTACGATATTATGCATTATTAACGCAATAAACTTTGATTTTTGTATTATATTGCGTGGGTAAACCATAAAATGTAGTTCCAAACTTGAAATATTTTTTGTTATTTTTAGATTATGATCACACGAATGGACGTTATCTTTCTCATCTCGGTCTAAAAGGAATTACAAAGTTATGCAGATACCTCAGTTCACTGAGACTGTGTTACATTAGAAATAGATGGAATATGGTTCAATTCGATTATTTAAAATACCACACTGTGATAGGATTTGAAGAATACTGCTTGTAGCATGTTGTTCAGAGTTCCTGTTACTGTTATCTAAAGTGCTTCAGATATCACTTTGATGACAAATGGAATAGGGCTTGCAGATGCACAGGTTTGTGAGCAATGCACAAGGATTCTTCCTTTCACTATGCTGCCGCTAAGGAATTTAAGTCTCTTAGTTGACCTATCCACAAAATGTTCTTTGCGTAAATTAATGAATTTGTCCAATGTTAACCTATATAAATCTATTCAAAGGGTCATCGGTTCTGAAGAAAATTCCAGTTAAAGAACCTACGGCATCTATTCTGTTTACTACTAGGTGTCGTTTTCAATTATATTGTGAGTCGGTGGCACAGCGGTCATGACTCTTACCGACCGTGGAGGTGGTCCGGGGTTCAATACTCTGCCAACGCACACCTGATATCTATGGTCGGCATGCAAAATTTGGGCTACCGATATCACATGCTGAAAATTCTGAACCCTGTACCAAAAGACATGGTGTGGAATCAAGCTGTAATCAAAAAAATAAAATAGATAGAAGGCCAGTAGTTCAGAGAAAAGTGTATTTTCGGCGAATTAATTTGCATAGCTGTACAGTCGCAAATATATATGTTTGTTTTGCATATGTGTGCACTAAATTTGTCAGACGAAAATACACTTAGTAAGTTGAGATGATTTGAATGCTGATATAAGAGGTTGTAACAAACGATTGCTAACGAAGAGTTACGTAGTAACATGAATATTTTGATGAAAGAGTTGCGCTCAGTGTGTACACGGGAGCAAAATAACATACGGAATTACGCAAGAGTTTTAAGTAGTCTGAAAGATAAGTATTCAAGCAAAAGTTAAGTCACGTCAAGCTAACAAGCAAAAAGTAAGACAAATCAATTGAGCTGTTACCATGATATTAGAAACGGTTGAATAATTTTCTTTTGTATGCATAGTTCTGGTTCTTCTGATTGAATGAGCAGGGCTTCTGCAATGCAAAGAAGACGGAAACGTATTGTTTTTGGCAGGCTGTTCTTCGCTTTGTAGATTACTTTGAAGGAGACGTTTGTTGAGATGGAATGACCAGTGGTGACGAGGTGTTCGATAATTTCACTCCTTATGCGGCCACTACTTCCTTTCTGCAGACACGCTGGTTAGTGTTCTTTGACGCTTTTTGACAGGATGCTCGTCGAACGACCGATGTACCTGGCTCCACAGTAACAGCTGAACTGATGTATACACAGAAGTTGTTAGGCGCGGGATCTTTTCCTATGGCCTTCTGCTTACCAGCGGGCGATCGAAGAACACTACACTCAATGTTGCCACAAAGAAAGTTCCTTTTAGAGAAGTGGAAATTCTCCTTCTAAGGACATCACTGAGTAAGTCACCTTTTAAGTCGGGGTTCATTTAAAGTACATTAGGAACATAGGTGAAGCAGTCTATAGGGAAAATGAATGGATATCAAAAGCGGCATATAAAACATTTCACTTCAACTGACACTACAATTGATCTCTACACTGGATAGGATAATGACGTGAAAGAATGGGCATGTGGAACACAGACTTCAGTGAGTGACAGTGAGTTGCACCACGGCTAAACCGTTATCAAAATCAAGCGATATATCTAGTATTTATTAGATTTTCCTAAAAATTGCACTGGAAGACGTGTTTCACATTATTCACGTTGCAGACATAAAACAAACCCCCTGTGAATTATTCACGTATGGAAGTGTCATCTTCCTGCAAAAATTAATTCCTATGCATGCACCATGGAAAATTGCATAATGATTTTAAAATGCCTTGTTGAAACTTTGGGTTTGCTCTGATGCTTGTTAATGCTGCTGAAATAACTGTGACTTGAAAGGAGTATTCATAGTCCCCACACCAGTTCAAATGTTTCACTTTGTTTTCACTTGGCAAACTATTGGGTATTACTGAAATCTTTGCTGAATCCCAAAAATAAACGGGTTAACAGCATGGTTCCTGGTTTTTGATTGTATCCAGGTGTCTGAGTGAGTAGAAATCTTCATTTTTAGTAGTTAATTCCCCTAAGAGCTTGAAAAAATTCATGCGGTTAGATCGCTTTCATGCGTTTCATCAAAAATAACTTTCTTGTTTGTCAAAACTCCTAAAGAATATCAGATACTGCTGTGCCCAAAAGGATTTTGAATAGACATGCCGGTAGTTCCTACGCTGTGCTTAGTCACAGTATTATTATCCTTTCTCCTTATCTGAGACGGAAAGTTCGACGGTGTTCTGATCACAGGGTCCGGGTACGTTGCTGTCACCAAACTGTGAGACTAATATGTAGGTCTGTATGTCATGGACAGTTAAATAAATAATAGTGTCAAGTGGTCATCTGAACCCCTCAACCAATGTAAGCTGCAAGTCTTCCTGAAATTAATGGGCCTGAAATGAATAAAGATGACTTAGCCCACATTAGTAGGGCTCTCAGTAATTTAGGCATAAGGTACGGTTCTTCTGAAAAACAACAAAATTTGTTTTTAGACAATTGTTTGTCCAATTATTTGAAGGAACAGTAGTAGCTTTATTTTAAACATTACTTTTGGTACAAAAGGGCACAAATAGTAGGGTTCTACTCGTGGAGCATGCAAACACTGACATTATGAAAACTGATAATATCGTTGTTTCTTGGACAACACCAGCCAGTTCTGTGAGTGATAACCAGATATTCGCATAACTGAGGTACTCTCGATTCTAACAAAGTGAACAGTGTTAATTGTGTTTCTGACTTTTACTGTATATGCGTCGGTGGCACAGTGGTTAGGATTCTCGCCGACCATGCACATGGTCCGGGGTTCGATCCCGATATCTATGGTCGGCCTGTAAATTTGGGCTACCGATATCCATGCTGAAAATTCCATACTTGTACTTAAAACACGGTGTGGAATCAAGCTGTAATCAAAATAAAAAAAATTAAAAATAAATTGACTTAAAAAATACAAGGTTGGGAAATTTATATCATAGCGGACTGAATAAAAAATTGTAGGTCTTACTGGGTTTCGCTTACATATCTATTTAAGTTTTCAACCTACCACCCACGAATTAACTCATATCAACTTCCTAGCAGTTACTGCCATTTATCTGATGAATTGTATGCCTCTGCTCAACATACTAAAAAAATAACAGCCCTGGTAGTATGATACCCCCTTAGTCGTCTGGGGATAACATCGTTCCTAAGACTTTTCAATTTTTGGAATTGGTTTCAGATCGTCTAAATAAAAATAACACGCATGCACTGCCTGAGTTTTGTGAAAATCCATCGGACAGCAAGCAACCCATGCGGGTTTATAATTATTTATTAACATTTACCATGTTTTTGTGATTACATTGACTTCTTTCAAACACTTAGTATATTGAGTTGAGTTTCATAACCTCACCTTTGTTCACCCCGAGCTAGTATACAAGCCACAGTGAGTTTGCTTTAGGTGAATGCATGACATATTGCAACGTGCCAACAAGGAGAAATGTGTAGCTCTCAAGGGAACATCACCATTTCAGGCTTCTACTTTAAACCCTTAGATAAAAACACTGGCAAACATTATTTTGAAATATAACACGCTTGCTCATATCCATACAACCCAGTTGTTTTTGGGGGTCTGTATGGAAGTTGTGACAGATGCTCGATCCGGGTAGCCACTGTTCATTATTGGCAGTGGAAACAACTATAGAGAATACATAGATATCCAGATTCCCGGATGATTAAAGGATTACTGAATCCTAAGCAGGAGAGAAGTAATCCACGCGTGTAGTCATTTTGTCCAAGTAGCAAAATACTTTATTATTATTCCCTTAAGTTAGGAGTGGAACATGGGGCTTCAACAACACATCTCCACTTTGTTCAATTTGGTACTGTCCTCTCCAGCTGGGTATATGATTACCCATAATTTCTCATCTGTTCGCACTATGTCCTCCATGCCACCCTCTCATTGACCACCCACTCGTCGCTTCCTACTGGGATTCAATTAGAGGCCTTGGCGTGCAATGTCATTTGATGGTCTCCTCAGCGTATACCCGATCCATCTCCATTTTCTCCTAACATTTGTTGAGCGATCGGCTCTTGGTTGGTTTGTTACCAGTTTCTTCTTACTTATTATTTCTGGCCATTTGATCTTCAGTACGGAGCAAAGGTAGCTGTTGATAAAGGTCTACGACCTGTTGAAAATCCTTTCCGTTACACGCTAGCCAAGTTTCTGACCCATACAGAAGGACCGGCTTGACATTTGTGTTGAACGGAATTCCAATTTTGTTCCTTATGCTGATTGTGGATTTCCAAACTGGATTCAGGTTGATGAAAGAGTATCTTGCCTTTCCGATTCTGACCAGCTTTGACGTCTTTGTCCGTTCCTCCTGTAGTTGAAACGGTGCTTTGTAGATACGTGAAGGAGGCAACCTCTGTTAAGTCTCTTACGTTGACGGTGACTGGTACTGGTTGTTATCGTTGCTTTCGTTGGTTGTCGCTATCACCTCTGTCTTCTCTGTGTTCACTTGGATTGCTGTCTTCCCTGCTTCTTCAGGCAGTTTGTTGGTTTTCGTCTGCAGGTCTTCAAGTTTATGGGACATTAGACATATATAGTCTGGGGAATCCAGATCTTCTAGAGTCTAATTGGTCGTCCAGGGTATTCATGTCTTCTCG